CGCCCCCCGCCCCCCGCCCCCCCCGAGCCACGTAGAGCTCCGCGGAGCGGGCGACGCGGAAAAGCCCGCTCTGCACCTTCCAGCGGGCTAGCCGGCGTCGGGCTGCTTAGCCGGGAGCAGGGCTGGGGGATGGGAGAGGTGAGAGAGGATGCAAACGCCGTGGCCCCGTCCCCGAAGCAACGACCGGAACGGCGTTCGCGGCACCCTCAAGATCTGCCGAAGTACAGCCAAAGAGGAGGGCGATCCAGCAAGCCTGTTCGAATACAAGCGGGCACCTCTCACGTCTGAACTTGTTTGGATGTGCAACGGATTTGTTCCTGGCAGTTCTTTAAAGAGGCAAAAATGCGAAAGAAAGAGAGCAAGAAGAGGGCTAAACGCTAAACGCTAAACCCCCAGCTCCGTGCCAACCTCGAGCAATTTGACAGAATAACCACAAACCTTTCAACAGTTCATAATGCGGGGGTAAAAACGGTGGTGGGCAAAATGAATCGTTTAAACACACTTCTACTTGGATTTAATCTTTTGGAGGAAAAGTAATTCTGCATTATCTTTATTTCTACTCATCTTTTTTATGCACAACGACTCTAATATTTGCTTATATATTTGCCTTTGTGTGTAGTAAGCATTAACACTGAGTGGGAATTTTTTTAATGCCTGTTTTTTAAACTAATTCTTAATTAATTGAGTTTTAAGACAATTATCTAAAATTCAGATGGCTAATATCTGTTATTTTGAGCTACTTTAACCAATCTCACAATACAGACACGTTTCTGAATTAGTACTGCTTCATCTCCAATATAAATAATGTCCTATCAAAGAGAAAAAGATTGTTTCTTAAAACATGTTAAAATGCGTCTAAAAACTATTTTTGAATAAAATGTACAGTTTTGCCCAAATGTATTGCCGTATTGAGTAATATGAGTACAGAGTTGAGTACCGGAGTACAAAGTTAGCTCCAACTAATGTATGTTATAAATAAAAGCTTATAACTTCAAAATACTTTACAAAAATATCATGCGATGCCCAGCTTACATATTTTCAGAAGAAAATACATTGGGTTAACTTTCCACAAGGCAAGGAAGTTGTGCTATGACAGCCTTGAGCTGATAGATCTCTGGTTGCTTCGTGAAGGCAAAAAGTGATGAGATAGACAGCTTCCCTATGGAAGGTTAAGGTCAAAATCCACATATGTCTGTTGGGTCTGCCTGTGTAGCATGTAATAACAGATACCCGCCCCCTGCTTTTTAAAAAAAATTCTTAAACATGTTCAGAGTGAAGTTTGTAATGTTAGATTAAATTGCACTAGCAATATAATTATGTGCAATATTTTAATTTCAATAAAAGACTTTACTAAGATAAAATATTTTTAGGATGACACAGAATGCTCCTTACTTTGGGAGTTCTTTTTATAACTAATTTATTTAACTAATTTGTTAGTAATATATACAGTCATGTCTTATTTCTCCAGCATATGGTTAATATGAAACTGTTCCTTGGAAAAAGTGGTTTTATGCTTATTTTGAAACACATATAGTGAAATTTTTTCCAATAGGCAAGAAAGAAGAATACGAGGCAGTATGGCAAAGACTAGACTTGTGCTAACCACACTATCTAACAGTGCAGTCCTATTCTGATCAATTCAGAAGTAAATTCACTGGGATTTATTCCCAAGAAAGTGATTATAAGATTGAGGCTAAATCCTTTTCAAAAGATGTTTTTAAAATGTTTTTACCAATGAATAGTCATTTTGCATTTTTCAACGTCCCAAATCAATGGTAACTTTAGGTACTTGATAAATTCAACCTGAATTTATCTATGTTTAAAGGCTATCTATACACATATATATTTACAATGTTTAACATACAAGCTATTGCAAATAAGACAGGTGCATATGGATCTGGAAATAATCTGCTTTTGATTTACAATTCTGTGATTTTTTTTTATTAAAACAATGATGTATATTTAATATACATTGACTAAAGCTAACATACTGCTGAACAGTTATATTTCTGTATTAACAAATAGTTAAGTGTTAAATTTGCTAGTAGCATCAGCAAATATGTTTCGGCTAACTATTATTTGCTTTAATGTAGTACTTTTCAGCCATAAACCACCTACAATACCGTTATTTGAGGGGAACAGAATTTTAACTATTTGATTTCACCTTGTCTTCTTTATAGTAGATGAAGCTTTCCCACTTTGTGACTTTTTATAACTTGACCCTGTTCTTTTGTGGGAGGGGTGTTAACTATTACTTCTCATGCATTCCTCCTCTTTGTCACTGAATATCCAATCCACACTCTCAAATTCATAGTACTTATGCATAATGTATTTGGCAACAAATTCTATTGAAATCAATGGGCGTGACTTAATGTATTTAAAATCAGGGTGTCAGACTTCAGTGAACTTTCTTGTCTACTAAAACAGTTAAACCAGGCATAAGTGCTTTAGTTTATGAAGTGAACCTGCAGAAGGCCCACTATAGTTCTGCTTAGTAGTCCATCTTTTAAATATGTTTAAACAGTTCCTTTCTCCCAGGGACAATGCAGAATGTCATAAAATAATAATAAAGGATAAATTGAAACATATTTTTATTTAAAGGGTCTATTTGTGTTCAAGAATGGCTTGGTTCCATTCAAAAGTTTTGGGGAGGTTTACACCATCTTTTTGGACTACTGTACACCAATCAGCAAGATTCACTAAAATATAGCACAAGGAAATGCTATTAAAAATTCAAAAGTCTTACCATACTGCTGGACTAAACCAAAAACGTTTTGTTTGCTAGTAAATATCAGGAGGGGAGAATCCAGCTCGGCCTCTCTGGGGTAGAACTTCCTGAGATGAAGAACAACAGAGAATGCTCTGTCTGGAGTACTGGATACAGATCTCTGTCTATGATGTCCAAAGCCAAAAAATCTGGAATCCCTTACATTTCAAATATTGAAACGAAGGGTAAAGATGGTTAGCATAAGGAACCTCAGATAATATCTTGCTATCTTTGATTTTTAAAATAGCAATTTACTCCGTAAGCAGCTTTATTTAATACTGAATAGGAATCATTTGCTGGAATGCAGATGTTGCAATAACAACACTGTACATACATGGAAACCTAACATTAAGATATAACATTATATCATGGCCTACAATATAAATATGTGAACACACAAGGAATATTAGAGGAAGTATTAAGAAAATACTATTTTTCTCTCCTTAAAAATGTAAGCTCAGATAAAAGCTAATTTAGGCACATTCAGGCATTGCCAATACTGTATTCAATGAAATATTTTTAAACAGCAGTCCCTAGTGCTGTATCACAAAACTGCTTCTGAAATACTATGAAGTTTCAAAACCTGATGCTTCTGTTTGAGAATCCCCAGAGGACATATGGAACTGACATACTATTAGGACCCCAAGCAGATGCAGTACTTGGAAGTTCTGATAAAATATGTACCATATCAGAATTTGAAGACAATGCTTAAGCAAAATTATTTTAATTTTCAGTGTTATTTGAGTTCTATTGGATCCTAAAGTTACTTGTATTGATCCAGCAAAATAATCTATGTACGGAAGCAGAACTGTGCACACGCCAACACGTTTATTTAAAAGAAGCTTAATTAATTGCTTCAGGAGGTAGTTTAAGAGCAGATTCTCATATGTGCCTTGAGTAGTCAAGTAGACAAAATTAGATAAGGACAAATCTGCCGTTTTCCTTTTCCGGTTTTTTAAAATCTCAAGTTCCGTTTATTTCAGTTATGAAAAAATGTATAAATTTCAGTTGGATGTTATTTAGAACACTCAATCCGAATGATATCCTCACCCATCTGTACTGGTCAAGTTCAACAGACATTATTGTAACCCACATGGGATATTTTTGAAATGGTGGCATCTGAAATAATGTAAGTGAACCCAAACTTTTTAAAAGATAAATGTTCAACATTGCTGCTTGGATAAATAAGAGCATTTTTTTTTTCACTCCCACTGGATTTTATTTTACTCTCAAGCTCTTTCCATTCTTTTTAATGCAAATAATAAAAATAATTGAATGAATGTTTATAAGAAAAAAATGAGCCAATTACAAA